AGAGGGAGGTCAGGTTCAAAACCAAAACTCTGGTAATGTGTCCCCATGCCCTGTACCATGTAGTGCAGGAGCTGGACAGGTGAGCTCTGCTGTATCTGAATGGCACTGGCCAGGTTCAAACCTGACTTGCGTAGATTCAAAACTGCCATGCTTTTGTTTTTTTTTTCTTTTCTATTTGCTTCCTGAAATTCAAACCCACTGTGCCAGGGTCAGCCATCCAACCCAGCTAGCATGGTGCAGACACTCAGCTGGGCGCTTTATGCCTTCAGAGAACAGGGAACCATGATGCATCCTTCCCAGTGAGAACTCAGTGGGCAACACTTAGCCCTGTGGCCACACCAGGGCTGGGCTTGGGTAGGTGGGGCACAGTCTGTGGTCAGACGGCCACTGCTGACTTTTTAAAGGATCCTCCTTCCTTGAATATACACACACACAAACACAGTATATACATTATACATATGTATAATGTATAAAATGATATACACTTTAAAAATTTCAGCTTTATTACTATATACTTAACATATAAAATTGTAAGATGTTTAAAATGTACATCTTGGGATTTTGGTATATATGTGCATTATAAAATGAATCCTCCCATCTCATTAATTAATATATCCATCACCTCACCACACCCTCTCTTTCACTCTCACTTTCGCTCTGTCTTGCTTTTGTGAGAGCATTTAAGTTCTATTCTCAAGCAAATCTCAACTAGACAATACAGTGTAATCAACTATATAAAATGCAATATAGTTTTAGTTCTTTCTTGGTGCCATTGGTTGGAATTAAAGCTGTTTTTTATGTGAAGTTAATTGAAATTCCTTTGTTTTGATTTGCTTTCAATGCCTGCCTTCAGGGTACATAAAATAGGGGTTGAGTTAAATAGGATGGGAATGAGAGTCCCCAAATAAAATTCAGGGGTTCTGCAATTAGAAGAGGGAAAAATAGATCCTGGATCCTCTGAATGCTTCTACCACAATCCTGCCAATTAATTATAAAATGAGGCTAAGAGGTGATCAGACATCGGGCATAGTCTTGGAGGCTTTCTCCTTTATAAGGAGCTCATCCATCATGGAGTATGATAGGAAAGAAAAATGTCCTTCTGCTCTTGTTGCTCATTCAACTCTCTCCCTGTGTTCTAATAAATACAAAGTAAATTGAGTTTTAAAAAAAAATACCATAGGACAAGCAATCAACTATTTTAAGTTCAAATATCCATCATTTGCTGAGTTCCTTTCAGCCAACCACATTGTAATTCCATCACAGAAACTTAATCAGAGATGTGGAAAGGTGAAATCATAACTAATTCCAAGCAATATGATTCAGTTGTTTTTCATCTTTTCTTAATCCTGACATTGTTGCCAGCTCCGATAGAGTAACTCAGGTTTGGTTGTGGTCCTGTGTGCATAAAAGCCAGTGTGCTTATGTTCTGTTGCTTAAAGATATAAAAATAATGAACTGGGGGGCCAGAGTGTCCAGTCCGAATCTCTGTGTCCCAGGAAAACACTGAGCTTGTAGCAAAACTGCTTTTCAAGTTTCTATCAAAGGACACTGTTTATGTGACATGAGGGGGAAGGAGAGCAGATGTCATGGTGCCTGGAAAAGGTAGTAGGTTGGGGAATATCATTTGGAAGTCCTGTGCATGGATTGTTTTCCCATGTGGTGTGTTCATGTGGCTGCCGATTGTCAATTTCCTTTTTATCCTCATTGAACTATTTTCATCCCAATACATACCACTTTCAAAATTCGCATGTGAATCTGTGTGAATGTGTATATGCCTTTTGGTTCCCTCTGTTTGCTGCGACAAGTAGCTGAGACCCTGGTTGACCCCTGTCCTGCCCTGATCCTGATATTGCTTTCCCCGTCCCAGGTGGCATTTCCTTGGCTACTGTCTGGTCATTGTGAGGGGCTGTCTTCCTGCTCAGGTGCTGAGGATTCCTGGTTGCTGTACATCTGGGTTTCCTGGATCCCTGGTTCCTTGGTTTCAGCCAAATTGTGAAGTTTTCCTTAGTGGCCTCCCTTCCTCTCCCGTTTCGTTCTGGAGTCTTTCCTAATGGAGTTGCTCTCTTCAGCACCAACTCCTGGAAAGCTTACAGTGATCTACCACAAACGGGATGTGTCTTTGTAGTTTCATATTTTATTTTTAAAATGCATGTGAATTTTGCATTCTATAGCACAATTTTTTTAAGATTTATTTTTATTTATTAATATATATATAAGAACTGAGCTGTAGGCCAGAGGTGCAGGGGGTGAGAGGATTCACCAGAGACAGAGTGAGGAGCAGAACAGGAGGATCTACTGAAATACACTGCTGAGGGGAACAGTGGTGAGACAGGTGAGGTCTGCTGCACCATGCTGAGGCTGTCTGGGGATTGAACTCATGTCGCAGTGGCTGGCGATAGCTTGATAATGCTGAGATTTTAACTTACCCTGCCCACCAGGGAGGTGCTGTACAGCACAATTTATCCATTTGTTTAAATAAACAAATGATTTAAATTATTACTCATTAATACATTCATCTGCCTTTGCCTCAAATCTTCAAGTAAAACTTAGTTTGCAGAAAAATAAGCTATGTTTCGCCTGTGGTTTTGCACAATATTTTGACACATGACTGTAAACCTCCATGGAGTCAAAATATTATAGTAAAAAAAAAAATACATATTCTCCTAGTCAAAGAAATTGAGCTCTAACACAAATCATGGGATTTGTGTTAAGGAATTTTTTTATTTTATTTTATTTTATTTTTTTAAGATTTATTTATTTATTTATACAAACACTGGGTACAGTCAGAAGCGTGGGAGGGTGAGAGAATTCACCAGAGCCAGAGCAGGGGAACAGAACAGGCAGACTTACGAAGAAATATACTGCTGAGGGGAGCAGCGGTCACAGCAGGAGAGGTCTGCATGCCATGTGGGACCCTTGCCTGGTGGCTGGGGATGGAACCAGTGCTGCAGAGGCTGCGGGCAGCTTCGCAACCCAGCGCTCAACCGCTGCGCCACCGAGGAGGCCCAAGGAATTTTTTTAATTACCCCATTATTTTATTTTCCCAGCTTTATTGAGGTATAATTGATAAATAAAAATTAAGTCTAAAACTGAAAAATAAAAATTGTATATATTTAAGGTATGCGACTTGATGTTGCATACCTTAAATATATACAATTTATATATATATATAAACATCAAGTTGCATACCTTAAATATATACAATTTTTATTTTACAATTTTAGACTTAATTCTTATTTATCAATTATATATAGAGAGAGAGCAAAGTAATTACCACAATCAGGCTAATTAACATACCCATCACCCCACATAGTAGTTTCACCATTTTCCTTTGTCACGAGAACACTTAAGATCTTCTCTTTCAAGTACAATACAGTGTCATTAACTATTATCAATTTGCTGGACATTCGCTCTCCAAAACTTATTCATTTTCATAATTGAAACATTACCTTTTGACCAACTTTTCCTTGTTTCCCTTCTCTCCATTCCCTTGTTACCATTCTTCTGTTTGTTTCTGTGGTATTGGCTATTTTAGAGTGCACGCGTAAGCATGGTCATACATTATTAGTCTTTCTGTGACTGGCTTATTTCATTTAGAATGATGTTCTTTAAATTCTTCCATATTATTGCAAATGGAAGGATTTCCTTTTTTTTTTTTTTTAAAGATTTATTTATTTATATAAGCACTGGGTACAGTCAGAAGCGTGGGAGGGTGAGAGAATTCACCAGAGCCAGAGTGGAGAGCAGAGCAGGCAGACTGATGAAGTACACTGCTGAGGGGAGCAGCGGGCGTGGCAGGAGAGGTCTGCGTGCCATGTGGGACCTTTGCCCGGTGGTCAGGGATTAAACCAGTGCTGCAGAGGCTGCGGTCAGCTTCGCAACCCAGTGCTCAACCGCTGCGCCACTGGGGAGGCCAGGAGTTCCTTTTTTATAAGACCGAATGAATAATATTGCAGTACCTTTATGTGTGTGTCTATCTATCTATCTATCTATCTATCTATCTATCTATCTATCTATCTATCTATCTATCTATCTATCTATCCATCCATCCGTCTATCTATCTATCCATCTATCCATCCATCCATCTATCCATCCATCCATCATCTCTTTATCTTTCTACCTCTGTTCACTCTTTCATTGATGGATCTTCAAGTTATTTCTATATTTGGCTGTTGTTAAGAGCTAGGCTTTCTCAGAAGCCTAGGGATCAGACCACAGAAAATATGACTCATAGGTCCAGTCGAACCAGCCTTCTCTTTTGACCCATGTAAATATAATTGCCTTCCTGCTGACCTTAACTGTAGACACAAAGGACCTGAGATTTCTATCCCTGACCCTCATACTATTTAGAGCAACCTCATACTATTTAGTGGTTTGTTGACTTCAATATATCCAGTCCTTTGAAGATACATTTTATTTATTTACCTTTCAAATTGTTGTAATGCTACTTTCTCTGGCCTAGAAATTACTGGCATGTTCATTTTTAACTCTGTGGCTTAACCTATGTATACAGCATTATTAAAATCAATTTTAAGAAGTCACAAGCATGCTGTGGTGGAGACCCATCACTAAACATTTTTATGAATGATTTAAAGTGGGACTTAAATGATTACATTTTGTGGCCAAAAGACTCTCAGTTGATAAGTAGAGGGAGGGAGCATTTCTTGCCTTTTTAAAAATCTGTATTAAAATTATATATTTTATATACATTTTTAATGTAAAAGCATTTTGATAGCATAGTTGAGAACCCTGGGCAATTTTTGCCTACACCTACATTTCTCTAAATTTGACTTCTTAAATACTGGGAAAGCCTGGTTAAGTTTAAGTATGATCACCAAGAACAGTTGTACAAAACACAGCAAGGTAATAATGTCTTGCTCCCGGTACCTTGAGAACAAGGAGACAGAATGAATGTGTACTCATCTATTTATCAAGGCCTAATGTATAACAACAAAGTTGGAAGTGCTTATTTATTTATTCACTCTGCAAATATTCCCCAGGTTCCTTCTTCATCCCAAGCATTGTGCTATGTGTCATAGAGGAGGTGGTGGATGAAATAAACACTCTCTGCTCCCATAGAGCCAATGGAGGTAACCTATGTTTTTTGAACTGTTTTATTTGACGGACACTATCCTGCACCCTTCATATGTACTAACTCTTAATCTTTACAGTATTCAGTATGAGGCAAAGGATATTTTTATTTACAAGTAAAAAGTATTGAAACCAAGATTGGAACTCTAGCAACTATCTCCATAGCATAGAGTCTTACCTCCCACATCATCCTCTTACCTAATGAACTGGTACTAATTGGCATATCAACATGTGGTGTCACATGTGGAATATAGAGAAAGATGAGACAAACTTTAAAACCACCCCCCCTGGAAAGCTGACCATAGATCTGAAGCATCTCGGAAGGGAAGGGGAAGGAGGGCAAAATGTGAGGGGAAGAAACAAGGGGGTGGGGAGATCACAATGGAATATGGTGGAAGATTATGGATGTCTTGGTGGTGGTGACCACATCTGAGGGGGGAAATCCTATACTGTGAAAAAATTAACAAGGATGTAAAATAATGGGATGTCATTGAAATATTATATATATGTATTTTTTTTTAATGTCAACTGTGATAAATGCTAGGAAGGAAGAGTACAGGATGCTAGTTGGGAGTAGTAAAGGCTGTGGATTGAAAGGTAAAGAATGGTTGAACATAGCCAGTAGTTGGCAAATGTGCTCAGCCAGTGTGAACAGAGAGAGCGGGTTCAGGCACATAATTAGGGGTGTCCAACTGTACTTTCACTGGGATCTTGTTATTCTCTGATAACCTCTAATCCAGTCATTATCTATGTGCTTGTAGCTCTTTTCATAAGGCACTGTTTCATAATGCTGAAGGCATTGTTCTTCTACCTAGAGGACTGTGGACAACTTAATTGTCCTCCGTTTTCTTTCACTGAGAGGCTCTTAAAGTCTGCCTCTTTTATGATGTTTTCCTGAGAAGAGGTAGGGAAGGTATGTTTCCATTCATTGCTTTCTGCTGGGAACCCACCCACTTGGCAGTTGTCTGTGGGGTCTGGGTATGATTCTGAGAACCTCATTCTGGCAGCCATGAAAGGGCAGGCCTAAGAGGTCATAAGACATAGTTCATTAAGGAAAAGAATCATGGGCTTTTCATCATCTGGATCATCCTCATCCTCAGCCCTTTTCTGGTTAGGGAGAGGTTCCCAAAACCCTAACGAACCTCTTAACACTTGCTTTTGATGTTGTCTAACTCCAGAACTTGCTCTTTTTCTTTGTTTCATTTTATGGGAAGTCTTAGTCAGACATTTGAGGCATCCATCTCTACCTCATCTGCTTGACTCCTCAATCTGACTTATACAGATTCATTTTTGAGTGTCCTTTTGAATTTTCTCTTCATTATGTGATGTGATAATATTCATTCATTCCTGGATATATGGTAGTCTCCTTTTTTAAATAGCTAATTTGTCAGACCTATATCTCGTCAGAAAACTCTCCTTTAACTAGCTCAATTTATTAGATGCTATCCCAAGTCTCCAGACATCCCAAAGGACACATGATATAGTTTGAACTTTATACGAATAATTTGCCTTTATTTGCATGCCTGTTTATGTTTCCTAGCAAGAATATGTATAGCCCTTTATAGACTATACATATATAAAAGACTATGTATAGACTTTCCTTTATAAATCTTCCACACACTCCTGTGTGTTGATCAACTGTGAGTTCTCAAAAATATTTCTGGAAAAGGGAATACTGTGTTCATTCTTCATTAGTTTGTGATTTGATCTAGGCAGGGCCAACCTTGACTTATTTTCTTAGCTAAAAATATACCTTTATTTGGTTTTAACTGAGGATTAATGACTTATTCATAGATTGGTATCTTATTTTCACTCTGCAGTGTTGGTCTTGACATATTTTACATTTCCATTGCCTTTAAATTAAAAGTCTGGAGGGAGAGGGTCAGGACAGGGGAGGAATGAGCACAAGGGACTATGGTGATGGTGTATGGGTGTATTGGTGGTGGGAATTTCACAGGGAAATCATGTATTGTACAAAAATGAGGGATAATATAATAAATATATTCAATAAAATATAAATAAAAATCTGGATGCTGCAATGAGCATTAACTTTTTTTCCAGAAGGAAATGTACATTTTTTTTACTTACCTAAAATAATTAGTTTATTGTAGAGTCTCAAAGAATCAGTTTTGGTCCTTAAACATGCTCTGCTGAGGGACTCTAATGAAGAAAACAAGGAAGACTGTATCAAACAGATTTATTCTTTCTAATGTTCTTACTAGAACACCAGTAAGGGCAGAACACACCTGTTAATTTGTTTACTGATTCTCTGGCATGAGATCATAACATTTAAAAGGCTCACAACAAAACCAGGCCAGACAAAGTTTTCATCTACCAATGGACAAGCAAGGCAGTGATCAGAGAAGATGAGGAAAACAGAAAAATCATTTATAACCATCTGCTAGACTGGCTCGTGGGATGAGGGTGACCCTTGATAACCCTGACATTTCTTTCTAAATAAGATGCTGTTTTACAATTTAAGGAAGAAATAAATGAAGAAGATAAAAAGGACTGTTAGCAAAGTGGGTATAAATACTTTGGAATTTGTTGTGAGAAGGTCAATAGTTATTTTCTGTTGAGTTAGATGCTAAGTGCTGTGTGATGCCTTCAAAGCCACTATGGTAAATTATTAAGTATTTGTAATTTATTATACACATCAGGGAATAATATATTGCAATGTTAGCTGATATTACTAAACAGCCTTGGCTGAGGCAGTTGTCTAGATATTGTGCAAGATTGTCTGGAAAGCAATGAACTCATTAGTAACTCAGATGCTTGCAGGAGACTGTTTTTATTCTTAGGAGTTTTTCTACTTCAAACTAGAAAATGAAGAACTATAAAAACAGATTTACATTATTCAGGTGTCCTAGTGAGGCTTCTGTCTCCTGAAATTATTGGAGCAATCACCAGTGTTTTTCAAGCATGAAAAATAAAGGGCAGAACTTGAACTTGACTCCTTCTGTTTAAAGCCAATATTTTATGAGTTCTTGATAAAACTGTATTTGGGCTTTTGATTTTTTAGTTATCTATGGCTAACACAAAATGTTATTAATTCATTGTTTGTTAACCTGGTTATAGACTACATTTTCTATTCTGCTCAGTATAATTTCATAAGGAATAACTCACACTAAGCATGCAAATGCAGACTTCAGGTAAGGATTAATTCATAAGACCCTGAGAGATGAGCGTTTTTCATAGCGTATTTGCAACCTGAGTGTTTTCTTCTACTGATTCAAAGCACATCATTGAATTTGTTATTTGGAGGAGAATAAAATATATTCTTGGATTTTCCTTCCTAGCAATTATAGGAGCCCTTGTCATATGCTGTGGCTTGTTAGTTCTGGAGCATCTTGGAAATCTTTAATTTATTTTACATTGTTCTTGACTTTTTCTTTTTATCTTTCTCTGTTTTAACGAATGCTTTTCTTCTTAGGTATGCTAAATTTCACCTCTATTCCAATGTGCCCGACATTAACTTTCCTTACAAACAAATGATTTTAATGCTCTTGAGAGCTTTCCATAAAACTTTAAAAGCTACTACCCACCAGCAGCAACAGTGAGCTGTATGAGGAGGAGGAAAGAGGCGAATGGAATGTAACAATGACAGATGAAAGGGGACAATGAAGGCTTGGGAAAACAGAGAAATTCAGAAACAGATCAGGGTGTGAGCAAGAGCAAGATTGTGAATACAAAGGGCACTTCACTTGCAAGATAAAAAGTAGGGATCTTCAAGAATTCTATCTATGGTGATCTACAATGCTCTGCTCATATATGAGCTCTTAATAACTACTAGGAATCATCAGCTTAACTGTGCTTTGTAACCCATTAGAAGTTGGGAGGAAAACAAAATAGAATGACCATTAGATTGATAGACTGATAGAACTGGATTATCAGGAGGAAGTGAAAACTGGGTTGAAGACCTTCTAGTATCATTTAATAGCATGTTTTTCCTTCCCTGGAACCTTGTCTGAGATCTCATATTACATTTATAAGGCAAAGAAAGACATGTCACATTCAAAAGAGGGACAAGTCAAGACTAGAAGCATGTGTCCTTTAAAAAGAAGTTTATCTGTGCAATTGGGGGACTGCTGATCCTTTAGTTAATTGCTACTCCATTCTGAGCAATTCTAATGGATGCCTGGTACTGCCCTAAGCATTTGCTTCTGTCTGTGCCTGTCAACAAGTCAATACTTTTTCCCATTGAGATGAGGAGGAAACTAAGAAGTTAGATTATTTGGCTAAGGTCACACAGCTAGTAAATCAGAACTGGATTTTGAGCACGGGCAGTCTGGCTTCAGAATCTCTTTCCAGACTTATGTTGTCCCCTGCTTATCTAGCCTGGGTCTGTGAGGTCTTTGCTCCACAGGAGCCACATGCCAATCAGGTTTAGACACAGGACCCTAAAGCCTTTGTTACTGTCAATGCACACTCCACATTTCACGTTCCAGTTTCTTCACTCTGGTAGTGGTAGATGAAATAAAAGAGAGTATTGTTATACATTGCAAAGACTAATACAAGTATGATTTCTGTAGCTCCCAAACAGGCAAACTTACCCCTTAAGTTCTCTTCCTCCTTACATTTTAAATGTTTCCTATTTTTTAAAGCTTGTAGAGATGTGTAATTCTGCTCTGCCCAAAAAGGCACTGGCCACATGTGGCTATTGAAATTTAAATTTAAATCAAACAAAATGAAATGTTCAGTTCCTCTAACTGCACTTCATGCTCTCAGCCACCTTCTGGTACCTAATGACTGCTGTATTGGACAGTGGAGCTTAGAATTTGTCCATATTTGTGGGAAGTTGTACTGGACAGCACTGGACAGATTACAAAAGATGAAGTTACCATTCAAATAAGGCAACATGGTAATGGAGTCACCTTGGTATCGGACCATCTTCTTTTGGAATTATCTTCATGCTTACAGAATAGATATGATACGATGTCTCTTGCCATGGCTGTTAGTTACTTATTTCTTCCTTTACTTTAGAGAAATATACTTGGTT